CCACCCACCCACCCTCCATCCATCCTCACGTGCAGCCTGGAGGTTGCACTCAAAAGTGAGGTCCACTCAGGGAGGTTACTGCTGCAGCCAGCAAGCTCTGGTGGTGCCTGGTAGATGGGATGTGGTTGGCAAGGTCAATCCAGGTCCTTGGAGATGGGGACAGGGAAAATCAGGATGAGATAAAAGTAAGGAAGGAGAGACAAGGAAAGGAAAGCAGTGCCTGGGTCACACAGGGCAAGGATCCACTCCTGAGCATCTTTCAGAGCATCCTTCAGGCTTTCCTTTGGGATGGGAGATGTCCTGGCTGGCTGAAAACTCAGACCCAGTGAAGGGTTGGGATGAGATGGAGGTGATTCTCCTGCTCTTTCCACCAAGCCAACATCAACTCCTCTGCCTGAGCCAATCGGGGATAAACACGTGGCCCCAGAGACGAAGCAAACGTGTTTTACCAGGTGGTCTGGTCCTACCTGGACCTGGCAGCATCCATGGGGGAGCCCAGCTGGAAAAACACCCCCAGGCTGGAGGAAACAACAGGATGAGACAGGCTGGATACCAGGTGGAAGACAAAGACACTCAGGCTGTGCTGTTGCCAGCAGCCCCAGGGGAATCACCCTCATGCATCAAACCCTTGAGATGGGCAAGAAAATAAAGTCTTTTATGGGCAAGGTGTCCTCCCAGTAGCCCTGTCCACCTCAGACTGGTTTTGTTTGGATGTGTAGGGAAGGGCTGTCCGTGGGGAGGAATGTGGTGTCTCCTTCACCACATGCAGATGGCACCAGTGGTGAAACCCTCCCAGGAAGGTGAGTTTGTCCCCCAGCTGGGGCAGGCAGCACCATGACCCCTCCTGCACCCGGGTTTTGCAAGACCTCATCCTATGCCAACACCACCTGCCCAGCTGGAGAAGCACCTGGTGGCTTCAAAGAGCATCCTCACTTGGGCAACCACCAGCTGGGGAGGGGAAAAAAGGTCCTTTAGATCCCCAAATTCCATGTTTTTCCCTAAATTCTGGTTAAACAGAGGTCCTACCTCCTTTAGGGAGAGAGGGGCTGTGCTCCTCACAGCCCATTGTCCCTGTTCCAGTATGTTCAGGCAGGACTGGAGCATCTCCTGCTGCTCAAGCCAGCACCAGACCTGGGTACCCTTAAATGAAGCAGGGAAGGGGAAAAAAGGGAGGAGGTTTCACCCCATAGTGCTGCTCTGCTGCTGATCCTGAGCAAAACTCAAGTGAAGGGGCTGCCAGTGGAGTTGGGGACAGTGGTGGCAGGGACCACAGCTGGATGAGCCTCACTCAGGCACCCAAAGAACCCTCCAACGGCCACCACACTGTCATGCTCCTCCTTTTCCTGTCATCAAGCTCTTCTTCCTCTCTCACTGCCTTTGAGAAACTGTCCTGTGCTGGTTGGGACAATTTCAAAAGGAAATGGGCAAAGGTTGCAGAGGCTGAGCCACTTCCGTGTGCCCTGGCGTGGGAAATCCCCACCCCAGGAGCTTCAGACACTTTCTTCAGAGCATTATCCCAATTTCCCAGCCTTCTCTGAATGCCTGGATGCTGTTTTCCCCAGCAGCCTTGACCTTGCAAAGGGTGTTCTGGCTTTAAGGTTGGCTGAAACTCCCAATTCAGGGCTTGTTTCTCCTATAGCAGCACAAGAAAACCAAGGGATTGCTCCACTCGTGGGCTCAGGATCACAACGTGGTCCTTGGCAACTGGAAAATCCACCCCAGTTTCCATGATGTTGGCTGAAGGTGCTGCAGAGGGGTGATCTGTTCCCAATGAGCTTGGAGCATCCCTGAAAGCTCAGTTGGAGGAACCTGCTTGGAGCATCCCAAAGCAAAGCCAGGGTTTTGTTTCCCTGTGTTCCATGTGGATTAATTAGTGTGGGCAGGAGCAGGGCTGAGGATTAAAGCAGTGTGATTGTTCCCCTCTGCTCTGCTCTGCTGAGACCCCCCTGCAGGGCTGGGGACAGAGCTGGGGGCCCCAGCACAAGAAGGACATGGAGCTGTTGGAGAGAGTCCAGAGGAGGCCACAGAGATGATCCAAGGGCTGGAGCAGCTCTGCTCTGGAGCCAGGCTGGGAGAGTTGGGGTGTTCAGCCTGGAGAAGAGAAGGCTCCAGGGAGACCTTAGAGCACCTTCCAGTGCCTGAAGGGGCTCCAGGAAAGCTGGGGAGGGACTTGGGACAAGGGCAGGGAGGGAGAGGACAAGGGGGAAGGGATGAAAACTGG